GGGGGGGGGGGGGGGGGGAGTGGGGTGTTTGGCGCAACCCTCTGAATTGTCATGTATAATTGATTTGGAGTCATTTTGTAAGTGTAATATCTGGGAAAGGACTCGTTATGGACTACATAGACATGTTCGACTAAAAAGAATTAAGGAAGAGAGACACATGATCAAATTTGAGATAATATATTGTGTCGAAAAGCATTGAAAAGAACGAAAGGGATAGGAGGGGTTGGCATATACCATTGAGAAAAAGTAAACAAATTTCTGACGAAGAATTAGTTCATCTCTGTCGGTACCTAAGAACCTTACTTTGAGAAGCAAACCCCAATCTTTTACAAAGTCCCAATATAGTTGATACACAGTTGCCGCACTCGACATAACTACAACTAGGCAAATCCGTCCTACACTTTTTTCTTTCTCATATGCCACTTTGGCTCCGGCAGCCAGCATTGCGGACGCGTATTTTCCCAGGTTTACTAGGTGGCTTTTATGTCCTTCATCGAACCATCTACGAGCACACTGTACTAAAATTGTATATATCAGCAAATTGTATAACATAGCACTGTAAAGAAATATAATTAATACAACAAAAGGCGAAGAATAAAGCTAAACCTGCATAGCCCTCCAGTAGTATGGTAGGAAGGAAACTGCATAAGCAAGATCTCTGTAATATGTTGTCCTCATGCAATATTTATAATCCTGAGTTTTGTAGCTTCCAGTTATATAATAGCATGCCACATTCTCCAGGTCTCTCAGCATTGGCACCTGATTCATAGTGTATGTAAAATCAAATTAGTTCTTGAAAAAGGTTCCTTCAGCTGAGATATTTGCTGGTAATAGTGATTTTGCTACCTGGCTACAAAGTTGATCAGCCATGAAAAAATCCAGCATGACAACCTTGTACAAAGGTGACAAAACGATGTTCCTTATTACACAAAGGAAGCGAAACCGGCTCGATTTATAGAAAATGTTGAATGGACAGACCAAGAGCACAAGAAAAAACTGTCAAAAGAATGGATTCAGTTATCGACTTAAAACCAAAGAAATGAAGTTACAAGCCAGGATAAAACAGGAGGGTTATAGTAGATTGCTAATGCAAAACTTTTTGTGTCTTACCAGTAGAAGAAGACCTGGGATAGCTTGAACTTGAGCATAAGAATAGCCTTTTGCGACGAGCGATAGATGAGCAAACAAAACCCCGACTACAGCAGTCATTGATGTAGTACAGATCAAGAATACGTCTCTATACTTGAGTTCTTTTGTTGGAGAAAGCTCAAAGATGAAGCTATAATTTATTCTGGTTTTTCTCCACATGAAAATGTTGCATCCATATAGGAAGAAATGCAAAAACAGTAGGCTGAACATGCTGCAGAATTATAGAGGAAATTCAATAAGCCATGAAATTTTTATACGTCAAACACTAATAGACCAAATGAAAATTTACTTGCCTTAAGACAGGATAGACAGTTCCCATGTACATCATATCTGATTTAGGCCTATACATTCCTGTAACATGAGCCATGATAACATATCCGACGAAAAGAGCAAGGAAACATCCTGCAAATAGCCCTATTTTTTCGAAAGAAAATGCAAAAGATCAGCGAATATCTAGTATTATTGAGTTGTACAATTTATTGGATAGCAATCAAATTATACTAAGAATCCCAATTATTTTTCAAATACATTTTTCTCTCTTTCATTTTCAACCTCACGTTCTTCAATAAAATAATATTACATGCAAATCCAAAACTTTTTCTTATTTTTTAACCACACATTCTTCATGGCAAAAAGTGGGATTCAAACGGGCTCTAAATATACATGGGATAAGATTACATGTAACCATTAAATATTAAGGGCTTGTTTGGCATGGCTTTTGAGAAGTCAAAATGAGCTTTTGAGATCCAAAAACTAACCCGTTTGGTTAATTTTATGAAAGTATTTCTTCCAGTTAAAAGTGCTTTTAGAGGAAGCTGGTCTAATGTGACTTTATCTAAAAGCACTTCTGTGATCAGAAGTTCTTTTAAAAATTAGTTTCTAAACAAAAATTAAGGTGACTTCCTTAGTGTTTTAATAAGCATAAAACTTGGCAAAGTGTGGAAGTCGAGTTTAGGCGAAGCATAGGCATTGACGTTTTCTTATTTTAATATTATTTTAAAATTTTAAATCAATCTAAAAATGATTTAATAATTAATGTAAAAAAAGCATTGAAAGGCGTAAAAAAAGGGTAAAAAACGTAAAAGTCTAAAAAAAGCGAGCGTTAGGCAAGCGTAGGAGTGAAAATAAATCAATAAATAAAATGAAAAAGAACAAAAAAGTGCGAAGAAGTGTTTTGTTATTGCTTCACGCCTAGGCGCCGCTTTTTACAACACTGTCTTCCAGAAGCAAAAGCAAAAGTCATGTCAAATGGACTCTAAAAAGTAGTATTATTATCTTGAAGATGTTTGGCAGCGATAGATTCCACATTTCTCTTGTTTAATGTGGGTAGAGATATTGAAAAACCGCTTAAAGAACTAGCTGCATTTTGAACTATTAGTTAACACGAATGTCTTCTTATTTTTCAAACCCGGTTCCAAACTCAAGTGGAGAAGGGTTGCGGTAGGTTAAGAACCCGCGTAGAACTTCGTTCCTATAATCACTCATTATGCGACCTTTTTTGTAGTCCACTTCAAAAAGTGAACCCTATATAATCATTACTTTTCAAGATATAGTGGCTGATTCATGGTCACCAATTTTTCAATATTGCACTTGAATTGATTAGAAAACAGAAACTCACCAATGAAAAATGTTACAGAATGTGATTCTTTTCGCAGGGTCGGTTTAAGGTACTTCATGGCCTTTCTTTTATCATCTTCAGCAAAATGTTTGATGAAAAGCTCCTCAACCTCATCTGCTAACTTCAGAGCCTGTCATTCAATTCAAAATTCATTACATTTTCGAAAAATTTGGCAGAAAATTCTCCAAAATATGCTAGACAAGCAAATCTTAGATTGATACACATGAAAATTTTAAGGCCATTACTTAACCACTTCACACTGTCAAAGAATAATCTCATGATGGGATTTCTTGTACCCCATATCTAATCATCTTCCAATCACAATGCCATGTAAAGATGTTCCATCACTATTCTTGTGCCCAAATACATATTTTCACGCTTCGACTCCGCCTATGTTTTTCATATCGGGTCCCGAACCGTGGAAATGGAGAAGGATTACGGTATATTGACAGCAAAAGTAAAACTTTGTCAAATCTGCCATTTTTTTACCTTGTCTGAGCTGTTGAAGTAGGAGCTCTCAACAACTTTTAAATAAATGGGGAGAACTTCTTTGTTAGTCACCTGAAAATACACAGAGCCTGTCAAGCATATTAAAGGGAGGAAAAAGATGAAACTAGAAAAAAATCTAAAACGTCGTGCCGCTTACTTTGTCGAACTTCTTCAAAATCTTTGCGAAAGCAAGCATGTTCAGGTTCCTGGAAGACATTAGAAAACATGGTTTTTAGTGTTTTTCTAAAAGAGCAGAAATTCCAAATCATAACAAAGTAATGAAGATACGATACCTGTAAGTTTTGAGATAGTCTAATCCTTTGTAGAGCTCAACAAATGCTCCTTTAATCATCTTCTCAGCATGATGTAGCTTTTTTTTGTTGATATGCAACTTATTTCCCTCTGGACCACATTTCTTGGAGGATTGATTTACTAAATCATCCCAAAGTAAATAAGTTATAGCTGAAAATGTACGAGTCAGATTCGTCAGGGGAATGTGAATCCTTAAGCTCTTCCCCTGGTAGTTAATAACTCGATTTGAAAGAGAGACTTGTCTTTTCATTCCAATTGATTTTCCAAGTTCACCAGATTTCGGAAAGTCTGGTAATTGCATATCATTTCTTTCAATTTCATCAGTCGAATTCTCCGGCTCCATCTCCAGCTCTGGCTCCAGTTCTGTCCTGTCCTTTATGGACTCTAAATCTATCACCATTTACAAGCAAAATATAGTGAATTAAGCTTCAAAAGTACTAGATAATAAATTTCAATGAAGCAAGAAAACGCAAGAAACTCATACCACATGATATGGTGCCTGATATCGAATCATCCTCCTTTAAGTCTTGGGAAGAAGCCCCTTTCAAGCATCTTTGCTTAAGAGCAGATTTCAGCTCAATAAGAATCTCCATTTGTTTTAGCAACGAGTCGCCCCTCTCAAGAAATTCCTTCTCTTTCATTCTATAAAATTGATTCACTTTGTTAAGCTGAAGGTCCAGACATGCAAAAAAGTCGATAGCAGCATCAGTATCAGCAAACTTCTCCAACAGCTCTGTCTCATACAAGTCTCCCTTGCTAGATGAAGCATCAAGTTTATGTCGAACCTGAGAAAAAACAACAATCAATAAATGATAGAAGACTACTTAACGTGACAAATGAGACCACAAAAATAGAGTCAGGATGAAGATTAGCGTACTTGAATAACTCTATGTTCTCTTTGCTTATGGCCAAGGAAATTATAGTTCCTTAGAGACGAGAATAGGGACTCGGATAAAGAATCATTTCCTTTCTTCCTATTTTCAGTTTCATTGCTGAGGAGATGGATTTTCTTAAGGTCTTTCTTGAGTAGTTTGTAATCGACAAATGCCTCTTTCCATTCAGGAACAAGCTGAGACTCAAACTGCTTAGAAAACTTCACCATTTCTATTCTCGATTTTACGCCTGCAAATCAGAGAAAATTTATAGATTTGTAGCTGATATATGTAAAAAATTTATCTAGGCTTGCGATTTGCTAGTGTTCTGATAGAAGGCTACGATCACATTATTTATATATGGAGAAAAAGGAATTTTTTTTATGGGATGCTAAACAGCACATTCTAAAATATCCTTTCCATCAAAATTATCCTATGCTCATTCCACCACTTGGAAGATATACTGATTTAGTGGTTTAGTTCGCCGGAAAATGACTGAACTGCCGCCAGATGTGATGAATTCTCGGCCAACATGTAATGGGAATTTTGAAAAGGTGGCAATAGAATGGCATTTGGCCTAAGTGATTTTAAATGAATTTGACACGGTCCACCTCTAAACATACTTTCATTTCAAGAGAATTCGAAATATTTGCTTTATATATACATTTATACTCGCAACCTTCTTTATTATGCATGAAAATAGCAAGAATATGCGGTTGAGAGATTGCAAATATGTCGTTGAAAGGTATTAGTAAATGATATATTCTGTGGCAAAAATCCACCATTGATCCCCTCAAAGATCTTCTTGGCTTACCGACGAAATTATTAGCTCCAAGTTAGATAAAATCCATCTACTTCGGTACTAGTGATGAATAGAGGAGTAGCGTCTATAATCAGTTTTTTATTAAGTCTCTGTTTGACACACGTTCTTTCAAAATACATAATTTCATAACTCATTTTCAACCGCACATTTTTCAATAAAATAATATTTTCAATCATAGCAATAACTTTTTTTTACTTTTTAACCATATATTTCTCAACATATCACTATTTAAAATACATAATTTCCTCAATAATATCCATTAAACACACCCTATGTTTATCGAACACTTAAAACAGTTGTGGTTCTTTGACGATTGTAATTTGCAGCTCTCCCGTGACAAGATCCCGCTAATACAGGGCGTGGTTCACAGACCCTTTACAGGCTGACGTGGCACATGTTTATAAGAAAAAAAGGAAATGATACTCGTACAAATCTGTCTCAATCTCAAGAAAGATGAAGAGCACTTAGCAGCTGAGCAACTGATAAGAGGAGGCAGCCCAGGCGTCTACTCCAGATGAAATATACAATCTATCTCGACTAACAGACACCAAAATATAAAGCTTCTAAAATAAACATAGCACCAAATTGTTATTCAGCATAGTGACAGAAATAAAGAAAAGCCATTGCAAAATTTACACTACTTATTCAAGGAATCAATTTTAGCCTTGCATCTGTTGACTGTTTGAAGCCAGCATAGTATCTAACTGAATAGTTTCTTTCACTCTCTATACTTCAGTTCACCCTCTTAACTCCAACTAATATTATTACACAAATAATTTATAACAAACTATGAGGAAATGGAGTTTCCGACGACGAAATTTCACTCATTTTTCCACCATATGAAGAAAAAATATGCTGGGGTGCTTCAACTTCATTTTCAGGAAAAAATTCCCATAACCTTTCATCAACTGAAATAAATTCAACTCCATTTGAGACGTCGGGATCCGGTTTTGAGTTTCGCCGAAAGATGACGAAGCTGTGGCACCAAAATAGACGGGAGCCAGTTTTGAGGGGTCTCCAATTTGTGGGAAAGTATTTGGAGCGGGAAGAATGTTGGAACAAATAATTAGCTGCCACGTCTCCAAGAACTAATGTCCCTGTAAAATACCTTTGAATCACACCCTATACACATTGCTTTATTCTTTGAATAATGCTTCATGTACAGAAGCATTATTCACGGGGTTGTACAGGCCCCTCACAAAGGGGGCCCCACATGTAGTGGTGGCAATGGGCCGAGCCGAGCCGGCTCGGCCCATTGACGAACGAGCTCGGCTCGTGTTCGCACGAGCCGAGCTCGTGGCTCGTCGGCAACGAGCCGAGCGCGAGCTCGGCTCGTTGCCGTTTGGGCGAGCTCGGCTCGCGCCCGAGCTCGCCCAAAGCGGGCGGCTCGGCGAGCCGAGCTTAAGCTCGGCTCGCCGGCTCGCCCT